CCCTGTTCAAAACCTCCATTGTGGAAGCTGCCAGGCATGGCTGTGGCCAAAAGCTTGTGGGTGCCTGTCAGGGCGGTAACCCAAGAACCACCTGGTGGACACCGGTGGTGAGGGAGGCCGTCAAGCTGAAGAAAGAGGCCTTTAGGGACTGGATGGCCCGGAGGACTCCCGACTCAGCAGATAGGTACCGACCGGCAAAAAAGGTGGCAGAAGCAAAATCCAGGGCATGGGACGAGTTTGGTGGGGCCATGGAAAAAGACTTTCGGTCGGCCTTGAGGAGGTTCTGGACAACTGTCCGGCGACTCAGGAGTGGTCGGGGTGATTGCGCCCAGGCTGTATTCAGCAGGGGTGGAGAAACTCTGACTTCAAATGAGGATATTGTCGGTCGGTGGAAAGAGCACTTTGAGGAACTCCTTAATCCGGGTGACATGCCTCCCTCACGGGAGTCAGGGCCAGAGGCCTCTGGCGTGTCAAGCTCCATTTCCCTGGTGGAGGTCACTGAGGTAGTTGGCAAGCTCTTCAGTGGCAAGGCACCGGGGGTGGATGAGATTCGTCCAGAGATGCTTAAGGCTCTGGATATTGTGGGGCTGTCGTGGCTGACACGCCTCTGCAATAGTGCATGGACCTCGGGAACAATACCCTTGGATTGGCAGAGCGGGGTGGTGGTCCCTATTTTCAAGAAAGGGGACCGGAGGGTGTGTGCCAACTATCGGGGTATCACACTGCTCAGCCTCCCTGGGAAAGTCTATGCCAAGGTGCTGGAAAGGAGACTTCGGCCGATAGTTGAACCTCAGATTGAGGAGGAACAATGCGGATTCCGTCCTGGCTGTGGAACAATGGACCAGCTTTTCACCCTCTCACGGATTGTTGAGGGGGCATGGGAGTTTGCCAACCCAGTCTACATGTGTTTTGTGGATTTGGAGAAGGCTTACGACCGTGTTCCCCGAGATATCTTGTGGGAGGTCCTCCGGGAGTATGGGGTGCCGGGGTTACTACTCCGGGCCATTCAATCTCTGTACGCCCGGAGTGAGAGCTGTGTTCGTATACTCGGCATTAAGTCGGACTCTTTCAGTGTTAGCGTTGGACTCCGCCAGGGTTGTGCCCTGTCTCCACTCCTGTTTGTGATATTCATGGACAGGGTGTCAAGGCGTAGCCGGGGTCAGGAGGGCATTATGTGTGGAGGCCGGAGGGTGGCGTCTCTGCTATTTGCAGATGATGTTGTTCTTTTGGCTGGATCACATGGATGCCTCCAGCGCACACTGGAGCGGTTTGCAGCTGAGTGTGAAGCGGTTGGTATGCGGATCAGCACCTCCAAGTCCTCCGAGTCCATGGTCTTAGCCCGGAAAAGGATGGTATGCCCACTCCAGGTAGGGGGAAAGGACTTGCCCCAGGTGGAGGAGTTTAAGTATCTCGGGGTCTTGTTCACGAGTGATGGGAAGAAGGATCGTGAGATCGACCGCAGGCTGGGACAAGCGGCAGCAGTAATGCGGTCGCTGTACCGGACTGTAGTGGTGAAGAGGGAGCTGAGCCGTAAGGCGAAGCTCTCTGTTTACCGATCAGTCTACATCCCGACCCTCACCTATGGTCATGAGCTGTGGGTAATGACCGAAAGAATGAGATCGCGAATACAAGCGGCAGAAATGAGCTTTCTTCGCAGGGTGGCGGGCTACACTCTATTTGATAGGGTGAGGAGCTCGGCCATCCGGGAGGAGCTCGGAGTAGAGCCGCTACTCCTCCGCATTGAGAGGAGCCAGCTGAGGTGGTTCGGGCATCTGATCCGGATGCCCCCGGGACGCCTCCCGGTGGGGGTGTACCAGGCACGGCCTACCGGAATAAGACCCCGGGGTCGTCCTAGGACCCGCTGGAGGGATTATATCTCCAAGTTGGCCTGGGAGCGGCTTGGGGTCCCCGGGAATGAGCTGGAGGAAGTTGCGGGGGACAGGGTCACCTGGGATTCTCTGCTCTCCCAACTGCTACCGCGACCCTATCTGGACTAAGCAGTTAACGATGATGATGATGATGATGATGAAACTTTTAAAGACATTAAACTCTTCAGATATCTGGTTCCCATCACCACCACTGTGAACAGTACTGACTTGAAAGTTTCTCTAGAATGGAGCATTTCACATCAAAGCACTTACATCTTAACTATTTAATAACAGAATTAAATGAAAAATCAATTTTCCCTTTAAAATATCCAGATGAACAACAACAATTCTCTCTCTCACCTGTTCTTCGCTGCTGTTTATGATCACCAGATCTGCTCCTCTCTCTCTGCAGTACCGTCTGCTATCATCCCAGCTCTTCTTCTCAGTAGAGATGTAGTAAAAACTAGAACTGAAGTTCACCCATACCATCGTATTGCATGTATCTGTTAAAACAGAAAATTAAACGACGCCCTTATATTTCACAGACTTACAATCATCATACAATTATAAGCATTTTAGATAAAAGCTAATGGTGGTTTGTTTTCATTTGCACATATTAGTTGTATCTTAAATACAGACATTTGAAACTTCAAGACATTCAAATACCATATTCCCTACTTAGTATGTTACAGTTAAACTTTCAGTAAATGTTTAAACTTCACTTTCTGAAAATTGCTGGTGAAGCCTTTTTTTAGCTTGTAGCCAAGCTGGTCAGTCTTCACTGTAAAAAGTGGAACAGTGCACTAGTTGATTGGAAGTGTTTTTTAAAACAGCATTATGTGAAAATCGGCATTTTCCGGTTTTGGGGTCCCCCTACAGTCGCAAGTGTACTCCACTTAAACACCACTGTCGTAAATACAAATCACGCTTTGAGCTCCCCTCAAAAACAGCTGTACATGTGCATTTGTTGACGGGCTGAAGGATACAGAATCTGACACCCCTTCATGTGCACATGAATGTAATCTTGTAGTGTCCATATGCCTGAGTGACGCGCATGCATGTGAAGGGGAGTCGGATTCTGTCGGGTAGTCTAAATTTCGGCACAACACCAGGAAAGACAACATTAGAAGGCAGAGTAATATTACAGTACTTTATTACAGGAGGTTGCAAACTTTCAACGCTTAAGACTGACCAAACCTTTTGGCATGAGAATTTATTTCTTTGCATGCTTGCCTGAAGCAGCACTGAGATTAGGTGGCTTTCGGCATCCAGGGAAACTACAAAACTCTGTGAGACATGGATGACACAGATAAGGTTACAGTCTATGTTGCAATCTTTCTTAAATAATATTGCCAGGGATGTACACTCTACTGTCAGATTTTGGACGAGTAAAAAACAGTCGTCTGAGATTTACTCTTGTCCATTCTCTTGCTCACTCAATCTCTCCTACGCAGTTCTCATGAAAGGTGCCCACTCCTCCAAAGTTACATAGCACTATAGCAGATGTTCCAGGCCCAGAGTGGCAAAGACAGAGATGCCATTCTCCATAAGTCAGTGCACCATCAAAACAATTTTTAAGCTGTTACTTTAGGTAAAATTGTTACATAATATTGCTTTTAAAGGTTTGAATTGATGTCAAATATTGCTTTTGTTCATCGAAACTAAACTTTTGCATTGTTTCAGTCAAAATATTTATTTGAGCTGAATAAAACCAGTTAAATTGCTTTTTGCCACATACGTTTTTTAGGTTGAACTGATGGCCTATTTTTTAAGAATCAATCCTCAGAAGTGAGAACAGAAGACACTCAAACCCCAAGTCAAGTCTCAAGTCAATGCCTGAGTCCTAAACAAGTCAGTAAGCATGGTAATATGGCCTTTTTAACGAAAGCCTGTTAATAATTCCAGTAGTAGGAAAAAGATAAGCCGTGATTTGCAAATCATTTTTGATCTTTATTCAATTGAAAACAGTACAAAGACAAGATATTTAATGTTTCAACTAATTATTTAAAAAAAAAAAAATTGTATGGATATGCTTATTCTAAATTTGATGTCTGCAACATGTTCTAAAAAAGTTGGTATAGGGGCCTGTTTACTACCGTGTTACTGCACCTTTTCTTCAAGTAACTATAGGGATGGTCCTTTTCCTCTTTGGCCCAGAGAACACGACATCCATTATTTCCATAAACAATCTGTGGAATTGGTGGGCTCGTCAGACCATAGCACATTCCATTTTAAGTCAGTCCTTCTAGAGAATCCAGCATTTCTAGATTTTGGTTATATATGGCTTTTGCTTTGAGTAGAAGCAAATTAATTTGCGTTTGTTGTATAGTTTTTACTGACAAGGCTTTTCCAAAGTATTCTTGATCTCATGTTGTTGTATTTATTATAGAAGCATGGTTTTAATGTAGTTTCTTTGGATTCTCTAAAACTTTTGATAATGTTATGGACTGTATATGGTGAAATTTTCAAAATTCGGACACGGACTGTTGAACAGTTGATGTCTTATATCAAGCAGAAATGGACAAACATTCCACTTGCAAAACAGCAACATTAGAATAAGAATTAAAAAGTGTAAATAAAAGGAAAGATGATGTAACACAGAGGTAAACATGCCTCTGTCCCAACTTCTTTTGAGTGTGTTGCAGGCATCAAATTCTAAATTTGTTTATATTTGCAAAATACAATTAAGTTGGTCAGTTAAAAGTCAAGCCTAAGTCAACGTCCGAGTCAAGTTGCCAGTCTTTTTTGATTTTGTTAAGTCGAGTCTCGAATCATCAAATTTGTGAATTGAGTCGTAAGTCATTTGACTCAAGTCTACACATCTGTAGACCTTTGTGGGCTGCCTCCTGCTTTCTTTTTGGATGTAATTCTTTCTCATCTAAGGCCCTCTACAAGATGTGTTTATATTAAGAAGTAAACATCGCTGAAATAATATCTCTATAGTGCTTGTGCTCATCTTTATTCTCATGTTTCAGCACAAGTGAAGACTCTGCACCCAAAGAGGCTTTACAATCATGTAAACGTACAGAATGCATTATGGGTGATTACCATCCTCTCTGCTCTCAGACTCAGAGCTGTTCCTGGAACAGCTGTGTATTTCTTTTTCTGCCACTTTAATGCGTTTTGAAGTATTTACTCACGTAAGTCATTCAGCTTCTGCTGAAGTCTGTTTTTCTCCTTCTGCAAAAGGTCCATCTGGTTTCTCATGGTGTTGGAGCTGCTCTGTAAGTCTTCCTTTTCCTTTGCTATTTGCAGAATTTTAATCTGTAGCTGTTGTTTTTCTATAGTCAGGTTGTTGTAACTGGTCTGTAACTGGTCTCTCTCTATAGTCAGGTTGGTGTTACTGGTCTGTAACTGGTCTCTCTCTGAGATTAGGTTAGTGTACCTGGTCTGTAACTGGTCTCTCTCTATAGTCAGGTTGGTGTAACTGGTCTGTAACTGGTCTCTCTCTATAGTCAGGTTGGTGTTAATGGTCTGTAACTGGTGTCTCTCTGTGATTAGGTTAGTGTAACTGGTCTGTAACTGGTCTCTCTCTGTGATTAGGTTGGTGTAACTGGTCTGTAACTGGTCTCTCTCTGAGATAAGGTTAGTGTACCTGGTCTGTAACTGGTCTCTCTCTGTACTCAGGTTGGTGTAACTGGTCTGTAACTGGTCTCTCTCTATAGTCAGGTTGGTGTTACTGGTCTGTAACTGGTCTCTCTCTGTGATTAGGTTGGTGTAACTGGTCTGTAACTGGTCTCTCTCTATAGTCAGGCTGGTGTAACTGGTCTGTAACTGGTCTCTCTCTGTGATTAGGTTGGTGTTACTGGTCTGCAACTGGTCTCTCTCTATACTCAGGTTGGTGTTACTGGTCTGTAACTGGTCTCTCTTTATACTCAGGTTGGTGTAACTGGTCTGTAACTGGTCTCTCTCTGTGATTAGGCTGGTGTAATTGGTGTGTAACTGGTCTCTCTCTGCACTGAGGTTGGTGTAACTGGTCTGTAACTGGCTTCTCTCTGTACTCAGGCTGGTGTAACTGGTCTGTAACTGGTCTCTCTCTATACTCAAGTTTGTGTAACTGGTCTGTAACTAGTCTCTCTCTGTGATTAGGTTGGTGTAACTGGTCTGTAACTGGTCTCTCTCTGTAATTAGGCTGGTGTAATTGGTCTGTAACTGGTTTCTCTCTGCACTCAGGTTGGTGTAACTGGTCTGTAACTGGCTTCTCTCTGTACTCAGGCTGGTGTAACTGGTCTGTAACTGGTCTCTCTCTGTGATTAGGTTGGTGTAACTGGTCTGTAACTGGTCTCTCTCTATACTCAAGTTGGTGTAACTGGTCCGTAACTGGTCTCTCTCTGTGATTAGGTTGGTGTAACTGGTCTGTAACTAGTCTCTCTCTGTGATTAGGTTGGTGTAACTGGTCTGTAACTGGTCTCTCTCTGTAATTAGGCTGGTGTAATTGGTCTGTAACTGGTTTCTCTCTGCACTCAGGTTGGTGTAACTGGTCTGTAACTGGCTTCTCTCTGTACTCAGGCTGGTGTAACTGGTCTGTAACTGGTCTCTCTCTGTGATTAGGTTGGTGTAACTGGTCTGTAACTGGTCTCTCTCTATACTCAAGTTGGTGTAACTGGTCCGTAACTGGTCTCTCTCTGTGATTAGGTTGGTGTAACTGGTCTGTAACTGGTCTCTCTCTGTGATTAGGCTGGTGTAATTGGTCTGTAACTGGCTTCTCTCTGTACTCAGGTTGGTGTAACTGGTCTGTAACTGGTCTCTCTCTGTACTCAGGTTGGTGTACCTGGTCTGTAACTGGTCTCTCTCTATAGTCAGGCTAGCGTAACTGGTCTGTAACTGGTCTCTCTCTATAGTCAGGTTGGTGTTACTGGTCTGTAACTGGTCTCTCTCTATCGTCAGGCTGGTGTAACTGGTCTGTAACTGGTCTCTCTGTGATTAGGTTGGTGTAACTGGTCTGTAACTGGTCTCTCTCTGAGATAAGGTTAGTGTACCTGGTCTGTAACTGGTCTCTCTCTGTACTCAGGTTGGTGTAACTGCTCTGTAACTGGTCTCTCTCTGTACTCAGGTTGGTGTAACTGGTCTGTAACTGGTCTCTCTCTATAGTCAGGCTGGTGTAACTGGTCTGTAACTGGTCTCTCTCTGTCATTAGTATAGTGTAACAGGTCTGTAACTGGTCTCTCTCTGTGATAAGGTTGGTGTAACTGGTCTGTATCCGGTTGCTCTTTGTGATTATGCTGTTGTAACTGGTCTGTAACTGGTCTCTCTCTGTAATATGGTTGGTGTAACTGGTCCGTAACTGGTCTCTTTCTTTAGTCAGAAGTATGATGGCAACCATAAAGGTAACGCACAGCAGCCAAAGACACCCTGTAGCCATGCTGTAGTTTGTGCTCCTTTTAGTGTAACTTCCTGAAGATAGAAAGTAATTCATATAATTAGACTTTTTAAATGCAGCTGTTCAGACGACAACATGGATTTCATATCACAACCTCAGTGCCTGTTTATGTAACATTTACATTTAATGCATTTAGCAGAGACTCTTATCCAGAGTGATTTACAAAAGTGCTTTGCTGTCCACTCAGAGAGTGTATCCTAGCTAGTACAAATAAGTTTGTAGGGATGGTATAGTATAGTGGGTAACATCTCTACCTTCTATGCTGTAGTCTAGGGTTCATTCCCTGCCTGGGTAAGCACCCTGCACTATAACAATAAGAGTCCTTGGGCAAGAATCCTAACACTACCTTCGCCTACCTGTGTAAAATGATCAAATTGTAAGTCGCTCTGGATAGGAGCATCTGACAAACGCCATAAATGTAAATAAGTTAGAGTCCAAGAGTCCAAACAATCCTAGAGCTCAGACATTCCCAGAAACAAACAACAGTGCTGATACCTTGAAAGAAAGATACAAAATTAAACAGAACTAAAGTTTAAAGAGTAGCTCTTTATATAACACTATATTGATTCAAAAGGAAACAAATACAATCTTTGTTTCCTGTAAAACTTTCCCCTATTCACAAGAGAGGCTCGGGGCACAAACTAACGGGATAAAATGTAACATTTTTCTATGTAATTAAACAGGTTTAAGTACAATGTATGTCTGGTCACTCTCTTGTTAGCAATGTCCTCTATGAATTCTCAAAGCAATCACACAGCAATCATTTTCCTTGAAATTCACACTGAAGACTTTTATTGTACCATGAAAGTAACATTTTCTTAATTAATAAGTAATTTCAGTTACCTTGTTATATGTATGTATGTATGTATATATGCATTAGTCACATAATTCACACCTGTTTTATTTTAATCCCCCTCTTGGTGGCTGTAATAAAGCATATGAACATCTGACAGTGAGATCTAGCCAGACTAAAGTACAGCTTCCACACCGTTGGGTTAGTTTTAATAAAATGTTACAACTAAGCCCCTCAAAGTAATCGGTGAGAGAATGCCAACCCCCTCCCCCCATACAAATCACAAATCATTCACAAGTTTATTCAAAATTATACTGGGGATGTGATAAGAATACAATATATTTCAGTTTGATTGTGTCAATATATGCTGTTATTCTTTGTGATTATCATATATAATGTATATTTTTATGTATTTGAGTTGGAAAACTCATATGATTAAATTAATCAACTGTGTTTGTCCAAATTTAGCAGACTTTTTTTTGCGACTAAAACTAGCCCTTGAGTCTGTGACAATTAACCCCACCTATGGGGTAACTTGTAACATCTGCATTTGTGCTGTTTTTGTCTAAATTGTTTACACAAAGTAGCTGCTTTTTATTTATAGCAGACATGTGCAGTGCAGTTTGTATTAAAAACATACTACTACAATCCCATTTCCAAAAAAGTTGAGACGCTGTGCAAAATGTAAATAAAAACAAAATGCAATTATGTTCAAATCATTTAAACCATATATTTCATTGAAAATGCTTCAAAGACAACATATCAAATGTTGAAAGAGAGAAATTTTATTGTTTTTGAAAAATATTTGCCCATTTTGAATTTGATGCTAACAACATGTTCCCAAAAAGTTGGGATGGGGGCAACAAAAGGCTTGTAAAGTTGTGTAATGCTAAAAAAACACCTGGTGGTTGTTTGACAACAGGTCAGTAACATGATTGGGTATAAAAAAGCATCCCAGAGAGGCTGAGTCTTTCAGAAGTAAAGATGAGGAGGGGTTCACAACTCTGTGACAGACTGCACGATCAAATAGTGCAACAATTCAAGAATAACATTTCTCAACATAAAATAGCAAAGAACTTTTGCTTTTCATCGTCTTTTTCCCTCAGGCAGCACTGCGTTAAAAACAGACATGATTCTGTAGTGCTTCTGAAAACCACTGTCTGTGAACACAGTTCATCACTGCATCCACAAATGCAAGTAAAAACTCTAAAATGCAAAGAAGAAAGCATATAGAAACAGGATCCAGAAATGCCGCCGCCTTCTCTGGGCCTGAGCTCATCTAAAATGGACTGAGGCGAAGTGGAAAAGTGTCCTGTGGTCCAACAAATCAACATTTGAAATTCTTTTTGGAAATCATGGACACTGTGTTCCACAGGCTAAAGACCACTCAGCTTGTTATCAGTGCACAGTTCAAAAGCCAATATTCATGATGGTAAAGGGGTGCATTAGAGCACATGGCATGGGTGACGTGCACATCTGTGAAGGCACCAGTAATGCTGACACACGTTTTAGCAACATATGCTGCCATCCAGACTGTGTCTTTTTCAGGGAAGTCCTTGCTTATCTCACCAAGACAATGTCAAACCACATTCTACATGTATTTCAACAGCATTGCTCTGTGTTAAAAGAGTCCAGGTGCTAAACTGGCCTGCTTGCAGTCCAGACCTGTCACCAATAAATACATTTGGATTGTTATGAAATGAAAAATACAACAAAGGAGACCCCAAACTGTTGACCAGCTGAAATCCTATATCAAACAAGAATGGAAAACATTTCACTTTCAAAACCACAGCAAATTGGTCTCCTCAGTTTCCAAATGCTTACAGAGTGTTGTTAAAAGAAGAGGTGATGCAGCACAGTGGTAAACATGCCCCGTGTCAACTTTTTTGGAACATGTTGTTGGTATCAAATTCAAAATGGCCATATATTTTTCAAAAAACAATAAAATTTCTCGGTTTCAACATTTGATGTGTTGTCTTTGAATTATTTTCCTTTAAAAATTTGGCTTCTCCATTTCTTTGTGAGACACGATGAGCACAAACTCGCTAGCTTTACTGCATGCACGCGAGCGGGTAATGAGTGTGTTTTTTTACATGCAGAAAGAGACAGTCTATGTTCACAAACTGTACTGTTTAGTTTAGTTCATCATGCGTTGTAACATCATCTAGCCAGGCCATCCAGGTCAGCTGACAGGCCAGGCCACCGAGTAATCTCCCGTTTCTCCTGACGGCCAGTCCAGGCCTGACTATACAAAATTACATAATTTTTGATCAATCAGACCAATTTTGAACAATTGCCAAGTTCTGTGGCATTTTTCTCTATAATGCTAAAATAACATTTAATACTTCAATCATGGTAACAACTTTGTTTTGCTCACTAAAAAAGTAATGACTCCCTTTAATAAGGGCTTATATGACTTTTATAGTGATACTCGATTTATAGTGATACTCGACTGAAGTTTTCTTGCATAAGCCATCTCTGATTGAGTGAACTGACTTGTGTCTATTGTGCAAAGTTCCCAAGTGGTCTAGAACGCGAACAGCTGTATACTGGATGATAGATTTTTAGATTTTAGTACTTCAGGAAGATGGAAATATCTTCAGAGTCATGGCCACCAGGAGCCAAGACTGACACCCCTGTCTTTGAAGTTTATGTGCTCATGGTCATTCTCCTCTATTTTGTTATTTGATAGTGTTATTGTCCACTTAGTGCACTGCAAACTGGAACTGATAAAACCTTTTTCACAGTAGCCATTAAATGCAATTTCTGCCTCATCATCATCAGCTTAGAACATGAATACAAAAAAATCACAACGTAGCAACCAGCTACATGTGTCAGATTAAATGCATTAGTTGAATTCATTTTGTTATTTATTTGATCCCTATTGTGTCTGTTACTTATTAAATTACTATATTGGTGCAATTTTAGTTTATTCTGACTTGATTGATTTTGCTATTAAATTTACTATTATGATTATTACTTTTTTAATAATTTAAAGCCTTTGGACTTTTTTTTCTAAACAAAAACATGCTACAGTTTTTCTTGCATTAGTAATGTTAACTAATGACTCACATTACCACATTGAGACTTCTGATAACATAACCTGCTAAATTAAATATTTTAAGTTTTAAGTTTACATTAATGCAGTAAGAAGCCATTTTAATTTTAATTTTATTTAAAAAATAACTGAAGGTTAAAAAATGGGTAACCGGGTTGCAAGTAACAGGTAACAGCCTAAAATAAGGCAGTACTCAGGAGTGGTTAGCTGGACAGGGTGCACATGTTGCATGCTAACTACTAATAACTATATAGTTTGCACAGTGTCCAAAAACTTTTGGCTACAGACTGTATCCTGACTGTGGTGAATGGTCACAACATAAGAATGGATGTCCAAAAACTTTTGGCTATCCTAGGAGTGTATCCTGACTGTGATGGACTAGTTAGAGGTTTTAGGCTCAGATAGTGTATATATACTCTTGTCTATGGAAAACGAGCATATTTGGACCAACAGTGTGAAAAAAGCACAAGAACACTATTCAGTTTCCACAGTTCTGACAGGTTTGATGGTTCAAGGTTAAAAACTGTAGAAGGAGAAACACTGACAGCTTTTAAAGGGGAGTTATAGTGTTTTACTTAATAGTAAGAGGAAAATAAAGAACAGTCAGTTGGCTTTTCCAAGATAACTTAATGAAAGCATTGCCTCATGGTCATTCTGCAGAAAACAAGATGACATAACTTCCTGTATGTATCATAATATAGGATATGCATCTATGTTTTTTTACAAAGGGGGAACAGGTTTGGGTAACGGGGTTCCACAGAAAATGTGGGACAAAGTTAAAATGATTCTAACAAAGTTAAAATGATTCTAGTAACATTACTTTGCTTGGAACTGAACTAGATAACATTGTAATGTTACTGTAAGATTGTAATAAATATATTTCATAGAGTAGTTTAGTGCTCAACATCACCATAATAAAGGTGGATATAGACATTTTAGATGCTTCTGTGATCAATTAAGTGCTAATTTTAGGAAAGTACAGATTCCTTCACTTTACAAAAACAAAAATGAAAATAAGAACAGTCACTTTATTGCTTTTAAAAAGGTAATGGGACAGAAACTGAAAGTGGAAAGTGTCTTAATCCAAGTGAATATACTGCACCTGAGTTCTCAGATTCCTTGGTGCTTCTGGTCGTGTGAGTCTTCAGGTTCTCCTCATTTACGGAAATGTTTTCACATGAAACGTCACCATCATCTGACGTAGATTTACTGTCTGCAATAATCCCTGAATTTGCATATATGTTCTCCCTCATCTCCATCCTGCTCTCTGTCTGTGACTGACTAGTGAAGCTTGTAGATGTGATTCACAAAGACTTGCAGAGACCTGCCTTCAGAGGGAGACAGCAGTCCTTGGTCCAAAAGGCGTGAGGTGCGAACAGGGAGACCAGAGGCTCTGAGTGAGTGAATGGGAGGAAACCGAGGAAATGCCTGAGTGTCCTGAACCAACTGCTTTTTGTGCACACAGATGGTAATCAACATGTTTTCTATCATAAGTCCATTTTTTAATAAGCCACGATGTGTCTAATATAAAAAAAACAAAGGTTTTGTGAAATGACTAACAGCAAGATGGAGTTGTGCCAGGGTTGATTTATGGAACTGCGTCAGCGGCTTATAAAAATGAAAGCTTTAGCGCAAGCTCTGCCAGGAAGACTCCAATGCTACGTCACTCATTACTCTGACCAATCACAAGCTTCCACCTGTCTTTAAAATGACTCGACTTACACACCTGCTTTGCTGCTTTCAGATGCTGACATTTCGTCGTTCCTTTTTGAGTCAATTCTCTTGGTGTTGCTACTCGCAAGTATTCTGGCAAGAAGCGGCTTATTTTTGATTTGTCTTCTCCTCATTCAGTTCTGGTTGCTAGTGTTAACGAGTGCTTTCCTCTCGAGCCGTTCTCCCTGTATTATGCCTCTGCTGATGATGCTATCTGGTTTATTAAGGTTGCGGGTCGTGGCGCTCTGCTGGCTGAAGCAGATATTATGGATGCCTTTAAAATTTTGCCTATTCACCCATCGGATTGGCCTCTTTTGGCGTTAAGTGGGAGTCTAGTTTTCATTTTGCCGTCCGGCTTACTTTCAGTTGCAGGAGTAGCCTCGTATTTTTGATTGTCTTTCCGAGGCTTTGTGTTGGATCCTGTTGAACGTCTTTACTGGCCTTTCATCCTCCATCTCTTGCATGATTTTTTGCTCGTGAACTTTCCATCTTCTCGCCGTTCCACGCTGGATGTCCTCAAGGGCGTTTTTTGCGAATTGGGCGTTCCTCTCTCTGCTGAAAAGACCGTTGGTCCTTCCACCAGTCTCGAATTTCTCGGCATCGTTTTGGATTCTGTTGAAATGCGTGCGTCTGTCCCCGCAGATAAGCTCGCTAGGTCCATTTTAGGAGCTTTTCTCTCGGCTTCGGCAGTTTCTAAGCGTGACGTTCTCTCTCTTCTCGGTCTTATCAACTTTGCTATGCGCGTCATTCCTCAGGGTCGTTCTTTTATTTCTCACTCACTCGGTGGTTGATTTGTGTAATGTCGTTGCCCTTGACGATGGCTGCCGGTCCAATCTGCAGTTCTGGTCTCAGCTCCTCGAGCAATGGAATGGCATCTCCTTCTTTTACTCCGACGTGGTTGAGTCCTCGGATTCTCTTGCTTTGTTCACTGACGCCGCTCCTTCTGTTGGTTTTGGGGGGTACTTCCAAGGGCAATGGTTCACAGAGAAATGGCCAGCTGAATTCTCTGAATTTGCCCTTGGATCTGCTTCCTCTGCAGTGCACGAGATTTATCCTATCATCGTCGCTAGCATTCTGTGGGGTGAGGCTTGGTCACGGAGACGTATTAATATTTTTGCGACAACGAAGCCGTGGTTGCCATCATTAACAAAGAAAGGTCGTCATGTAGCACAATCATGTCTTTACTTAGACGTTTAACATGGCAATCAGTCATTCATAACTTTATTGTGACAGCTGAACATATTCCTGGACATTTTAATGCTGTCGCTCGATCTCGTTTACAGGAGTTCAGACGTCTCTGCCCCTCGGCTTACATGGATCCAACACCTTGCCTTCCTTTCACCCTACTCATTTTGGACTAAACTATTATAACGCCCTACTAGATTCACCCAAATATTATATGTCAAAAGGCTTAGCCCCTTCCACTCTTAAAGCTTATAACTCCACGTGGGCTTGGTTTGTTCTGTTCTGTCTTTCGCTACAAATTCCGGTTTTTCCCATTCTCGTGACAACAGTTTGCACATTCATCGTTCATAATTATCAGTCTTGCCGTCTTAAAGCTGCTTCAATTCACGAATGTTAGCAGGTATCCAATTCCATGCTAGATGTAACGACCCCGACTATCCTAGTTTATTCTCCAACCCAGCTATCCGCTTGCTTCTTAAAGGTTTAAATAAATCTACACTGCAAGTTTCAGATAAATGCTTACCCATAACTCCTGAAATACTGCAGATGCTTATCTCTGCTCTACGCGAAGGTCTTTTTACTCCTTTCATTAACTTGAGGCTGTTTTTCTCATGGCTTTTTATGGTTTCATGCGTCCAGGGGAATTCACTTCTAACACTCAGCCATTCGATCCCACACGAGGTCTCACACTGTCTGATATACACTTCTCACCTCACTTCTTTACCATTTTCCTTAAGCACTCTAAGACAGACTTCTCTGAAGCTGGTATTTCTATTAAAATCTGTAGACTAAACATCTCCTTCTGTCCCTATTCCTCTATGACCCCAAACTCCACCCACCTACTCTCAACTCACCTCTGTTTATATTAAACAGAGGTGAGTCACCTATGTTTATATCTGCTTTCCTATGACTGCACAGTGGTTCAGGGAACACCTAGCCTTCGTCATTACAAAATGTGGACTGTCCTCAACTCACTACACAGGCCATTGTTAGAATAGGAGCAGCTACAACCGCAGCTAAACTTATTCTACCCATCAATTCAATCAAGCTGCTGGGGAGATGGTCCTCGTCTGCCTATGAATCCTACAAAAGGCCAGATGCACAACTCATCATGGATGCTCAATTGGCTCTCTCAAAATCTATCAAGGTATATTTCTTGCAACTACTGGTGGCGGCTACTGACCTTTGCAATTGAATGAACACTGCATGATTTAAGTTAAAAAAAAAAAAAAATCTTTGTTTAGCTCTCTAAGCAATACCTCTTTAATGTTATACATTTTAATCTTTGGCAATCGGTGCTTTTGTGCTGCATTTATGAGCTCATCTGCCAAGCCATTGCATGCCTATATAAGCTTGTTGCTGAGCAAATGCCATGCAATCTCAATACATGAATGGGCCATCATCATAACAAACACTTGCATATATGGACCAGTCACCTGAGCAAATGCCACATGGGCTCATAACCTAAGCAAAATGCTATGCTTATTTTGGCTCATAAACTGTGCAAAACGCAGCAATTAATGTGAGGGCACGTCGCCCCAATGAAAGCTACTCACGTGAGGGAGCGTCGCCCTAACGAACGCAATGCATTTCAGGGCGCGTGGCCCTAATGAATGGTTTGCACGTGTGGGCTCGTCGCCCAGTGAACATAGTGCATGTGTGGGTTCGTCGCCCAGCGAACATAGTGCATGTGTGGGCCCGTTGCCTAGCGAACATAGGGCATGTGTGGGCCCGTCGCCCAGCGAACATAATGCATGTGTGGGCCCGTCGCCCAGCGAACATAGTGCATGTGTGGGCCCGTCGCCCAACCAAACATGGTGCATGTATAGCAGTCCTTGTATCTGATGTTTACATAGTAAATACCGCAGTACTCCTTACGTAATGTAAGCATGAAATTGTTGCTCTCTGCAAACAATTTGCAGTGTCGAGGCCTCAGCCTCTAAATCTTGAGTTTTCTTTTAACCTGACGAAAACTTTAAGCTTAATGCCGATTAGGTACTCCAGGTGACCTATGTGTTAGAACAACTAAGTTCTGTCACTTATTACACCACCACAATGGTATATAGAATGATGAGCCCATGCACTTGTTATTTCATTTTAGCCTATGCAATAATCAAATGCACTTAGTACACTTAATCAGTAATTTAATTGCACTTGTTACTAATACCACAATCTGTACTTTTATTGGATATATACTGATGCATCTTGCTAATATCTCTTATGTTCCTTTCCAGACTAGTCAATCCAGGTAAAGTCTTTCCCGGTGGGTATCCATTATCTCTTACAAATCTTTTGGGGTATGCTCCGCCCCCTGCCGTCCCTGTATGGCAGGATCTGCGAAGCTCTATACATCAAAGTACCTGGGCTGATGAAGGGGCCCATGCCAAGGACTTTAACTTACAAAATTTTGTTATCTATGGAATTGTTAAATATTATTAGATGAAACTATTTTCCTTCCTTCACGTTCGTCTCTGGAGTCTTTCTGGTAGAACTTGTTTTCTTACTTTGGCAAACAGAGTCAGTATGATGAACAAAAAATTAAACACTGTGGAAAAGTATGTAATAGTCATCTGGTACTTGCCTGTATGATTTTCTTTTAAATAGCAAAATGACTGAAAACGATGTACCATGTGTGGTTTCTCAGACATTAACTCATCATAAATAATTCAGTGGGTTTTACATTATTCATTGACAATCTAAACCCACTCATGAATCTCCAAGAATTAACTGAGCTGGCCAAGGTGGGCTTCTTCATGACTAATCAGCTTTAATGATAGCAGTTTTATTGTTTTACTCCAGAAAATTGAGCAGAATCCAGGAAATCCAGGAAATCCAGTCTTTCTCCATTTATTTACTTTCTGTTTCACAATCTTTGGACAATAAAAGACATTTTTATGTTACACAACAGCTTGTAGCAGAAGAGTGAAGGAGAGCTGGATGTTGGTTGCCTTCCAGACGTTTAATGTACTTATGATAGAACTTAAGTTTGGGGGGAGGAACATGGCTGAAACTCCTCCTTCCAATCTGTCACCCTATACATTCACTTCCCCACCTTCCATTCCAGTGAAGAAGTGTTTGCAATCCCCACCAGCACCCCATCTCCATCCTGTTCCTCAGTCCTGCATCAGTCCCACTACAGCTATGAGGCGGGGGGTCTGGCCTTCTAGCTACAGGCAGAAGCTGCCAAGAACTCCAGCCCAAGTTCTCAGAATTCTCCCCCTCCCTCAATCAGTCTTCCTCACCACATGTTGAAGTCATGGACTGAACTCACAAAAACAATCTGTAATTAGAGTCGGAGGCTGTGGGTCATCAGGGGCATCTGTTAGCCAGCACTGAGAACACTGCTTATATTATACACACAACCTGTGTGTATAATTTAATTTTACAGCAAAATCTTAATTACTTAAATCTGAAGTCTAACACAGAGTATTTTAAAAGTAGCCTGTTAGCTACCTAGAACTTAGATAGCAGGCCAAAAAGTGCCACACAGCACAGGCTTAATTCCAACTTACTGGTGCTCTGCAGACACACAATAACAACTCATGTCTGAGAGAGCAAAGTCAAGTGACTGTTGTTGGAGTGACAGAAAGCTGATATTGTCAGTGATCTTTGGTGTGTGTAGCCATCACTGAGGTATTTCCTGACCCTGATCTTTCTCCTTTCTATCAGGCTCACCACCAATCAGAAACAGCTGACGCTGTCATAATTCTGAAAGTACATCATTTTTAAATACCGTGGTACATCTTATTACTGTCCAACACTAGAATAATATTAAATACTGATAGATTACTTAGTGCTGGAGGCTTCAGCCTTAAACATGATTCCAACTTTTCTGATGAGGAAAAATTAATGTCTTTTACTGGAAATTACATAAATGAAAAGGTGATTTTTGGCTTTTCAATAGCGCTTTACATGGAAATTTCATGGAGCGAACGCCAAAGAGGCAGTCTGTGAACTTTATGGAGCCATCAGCAAACTGCAGAACAAGTGCCCAAACTGACTTTTTATTGTTGCTGGTGACTTTAATCACGCAGATCTCAGGTCAATGCTCCCAAAATGATTCCATCAGTTGGACCTTGTTTAATCTAATATTTCCAGGCGATACGCATTGATGTTACTGTGTCCAGGACCATCACTACACGCAAAACTCAGAAGCCGTGGATGACTGCTGAGGTGCACTTGCTGCTGAAGGCCCTAAGAATAGAGAGGGCCAAACTGTTATGAGCAATCAGAGAGGCAAAGTGCGCACACGCTCTGAGAATCCATGGACACTTCCAAAATACCGACGGCACATGTGGCAGGGCATTCAGGCCCTCAGCAACTACAGGAAAACATCTCCCTCCTGTGATAGTGATGACTCCCTTCCTCATGCACTGAATGATTTCTGTGCACAGTTTGAAGCATATAATAATGTGGCCACTCCTCCACCCAGCGAGCAGGTACTGTGCCTATTCACAGCTGATGTGAGGAAAACTCTGCGCAGAGTTAACCCAGGGAAGGCTGCTGGACCAGACAACATTTTTGGCCGAGTGTTCAGGGAATGTGCAGACCATCTAGTGGATGTTCTTACAGACATCTTCAACATCTCGCTAAGCAGCGTAGTTGTTCCAGCGTGCTTCAAGACGACCACCATTGTCCCTGTGCCAAAGAAATTTCCAGCATCTTGCCTCAATGACTTTTGTCCCGTCGCACTCACACCCATCATCATGACGTGCTAAAAGACGCTCGTAATGAGGCACATCAAGACCCAGCTGCCTCCTTCACTCGACCCTCTGCAGTTCTCATATTGCTCCAACCGCTATACGGATATTGCCATAGCCAACACTCTTCATCTGGCCCTTACTAATCTCAAGAAAAAGGACACTTATGTTAGATGCTGTTCATAGACTTTAGTTCAGCATTCAATACCATAATTCCTCAGCATCTCATTGGAAAGCTGGGCCTAAACACTTCCCTCTGCAGTTGGATCCTGGACTTTCTTACTAAGAGACCTCAATTAGTCCAGATCGGGAGCAGCATATCTAACACTATCACACTAGCACTGGAGCCTCCAGGGGAGTGTGCTCAGTCCACTGCTGTTCACTTTGCTGACTCATGACTGTGCAGCAGCTCACAATTCCAACCACATCATAAAGTTTGCTGATGACAATACTGTGGATGGTCTCATCAGCAAGATTTATTTAATTGAACAGATTTATTTAATTTAATAAGATGTATTTAATTGAGGGTAGTACAAAGACAACATTATCAAATGTATTTGAGAAATTTTATTCTTTTTTGAAAAATATAGCCCATTTTGAATTTGATGCCAGCAACTCGATTCCAAAATGTTGGAACAGGGCAACAAAAGACTGATAGAGTTGTGTAAAGAAAATGGTGGAACATCTCACAACTAAGTAGGTTAATTGGCAACAGGTCAGTAACATGATAAAAAGAGCATCTCAGAGAGGCTTAAGTAAAGATGAAGTAAAGTAAAGAAGTTGTTGTTTATTAGATAGCGATGATGTGAAGATGATGAAGTCTCTGC